AGCTCCAGTAGCAGCTCCACCAGGTGGGTCCGCAGCACCAGCAGCAGCGCCACCCCCAGGGTCCGCAGCACCGCTAGGAAGAGCACCCCCAGAGTCGGCAGCTCCAACTCCGCTAGCACCGCCAGCGCCAGAGTCCCCAGCTCCAGCAGCTCCAGTCGTAGTGCTCCCAGAACAACCAGTCCCGGCAGCTCCAGTACCCCCAGTACGAGCACCCCCAGGACGAGCAGCTCCAGCACCCCCAACTCCAGCCGAGCCACGAGGACGGCGAAAGCGCCGGACGTACCAGTCACGAAGCTGCTGCGGTGTGAGAGACTGCTCAGCACCCCGAACCGGAGCACCCCCAGACGCAGCAACCCGAGGCTCCGTAGGCTCAGTAGCAGCACCCCCAGGCTCAGTACCCGCAGGCGCAGCACCCCCAGACTCCGCACACGCAGGCTCAGCACTCCCAGTCGCAGCACCCCCAGGCACAGCACCCCCAGGCGTCGAACTCTCAGGCACAGTACCCTCAGCCCCAGCACCCGCAGTCCCAGCACTCCCAGGCCCAGCACCCGCAGGCTCAGCACCCCCAGACTCAGCACTCCCAGCAGCACCACCTGCAGCAGCACCTGAGTCACCTGTGACCTCGACAGGCTCAGCGACGGGAGGAGGGTCTACCTGAGAGACACCTGAAGGAGCAGGGTCCTGAGGGGGGAGGGGGTCTACCGGAGGGGGACCAGGAGCAAGGAACAGCGGCGGGGGAGGGAGGGGGGCAGTGCGGTAGGGGAAGAGACGGTAAAAAGGGACCGACTCGTCAAAGGTGACATCCTGAGAGGCGAAGACCCGGCGCGAGGTGGGGTGGTAAAACTGCCAGCCAGGCGCGTCAGGGACAAAGCCAAGGAAGACACAGGGAAGCGTGCGGGAGGAGAGCTTGTCCGCGGACGTATCGCGGACAAGGGCACGAGCACCCCACACCCGGAAGCGCGACGCATCGCCAACCTCCCCCGTCCAACGCAGTGTGGGCGAGGTCTCCGGCAAGGAGACACGGGGCCAGAGGTTGAGCTGATGCGCGGCGTACCGGACAGCAAACGGCCACAGAAAATGGGGAGCCGCCGCGTGGACCAAGGAGGTACGAGCGACCTCCATGACCAGGCCAATGCGGCGCTCAGCAACCCCATTCTGCTGTGGGGAGTCCGGAAGCGTGAAGGTCTGCTCGATGCCCTCCGCCTGACAGAAGGTCCTCAAGAGATCGGAGGAAAACTCACCACCTCTGTCAGAGTGCAGACGCAGGACAGGAAGATCCGTCCGGAAACGGCGGCGGAGCTGGAGACGAACTGTGCGGATCCAAGGGATCAGAACAGCAGGGACCTCACCCTTGGTGCGCAAGGGGAAGACCGTGGTGTAACGCGAGTAGTCGTCGACAACCAGCAAAAAGTACCGCTCACCGCCCTGACCACGAACGCGGGCTGGGCCCCACACGTCCAGGTGGAGGGTCTGCAGAGGAGCCTCTGTCGGGGGGAACGAGGAGGAGTGAGGAGCGGCGCGCTGCCGCCCCTCGACGCAAGGAAGGCAAGGCAGCGCAGGCGAGGCAGGGAGGGGAGGGAGGGACCTGGGAAGACCAGACACAAGGAGGCGAGAGTGCATGCCACGAAGGCGTGGCAAGGAGGGGTGACCCAGGCGGTGGTGCCAGAGAAGAGTCTGGTGCGACAGGGAACGACACTCACAGGCGTGGGCCACCAGACCTGACGCAGACACCTGACCGACAGCAGCGACCTGAGGAGACGCAGTGGTCAGTGTGTAGAGACTCGACCCCGGCCGACGGGTAAACGTAGCCAGGTGACGGCCGGTCCTGGAGCACGTGCAGATCGCCACACGCTGTCCTCCAGGGGTAAAGGTGTCAACCCACTGATCCTGGATGACAGCGTTGCTCACCAGGTTCGTCGAGAATGAGGGGAGGTGGAAACCCGACAACGAGCCAGACGGAACCGCCGGACAAGGGAGTACAGTGGTGGACTGGGCAAGGACTGGGCCCCCAGAGGGGTCAGCCAAGGAGACTGGGACCGGTGCAGGAAGCGGTGTGAGCTCAGTACTGTCACGAAAGAAACAACGGGAAGCACCTGAGTCAAGGGTGAAGGTGTGACAGGCCTCAGCCGGTGCGGTACCTGAGAGAGCAGTCTCTGTGGGTGCTGTACCTGAGAGAGCAGACTCGCAAACAGCCGGGACAGTACTGGAGGGAGCAAGTACAGGGGGCACCATACCAGAGAGAGCAGACTCACTAGTACCCAGGGCAGCGGGCTCTATACCTGGATCAGGCGGCACACACAAGTAACAGTCTCCCTCGGCACTAACAGTCAATGCATACATGGCAGCAATAATAGCATCATAGTCAAGAGCAAAGACATCAACACCAGCCCTCATGAGCTCAGCCCAGCGGGGGCGCTCAACATCCTCACCCATCTCCTCACGCCAAGCGTCGTCAAGGCGGGAGAAGCAGCGGTACGGGGTGTGGAACCTCCCACACGTCTGTCCCTTGCGGTCACCTGTGCGAATGACATAGGAACAGCGGCCACTGCCCCCCGACGTCCCACGCTGAGCAAGCCACTCACGAAGCTGCTGGGTCGTCTGAGGACGCTGCTGCTGCTGGGAGCTCTGGCCCGAGCCAGTGCCTCCACTCCGACCTCCGCCGCCACCACTACCACCGCTCCGACCGCCACCGCCACCACCGCCACCACCGCCACCGCCGCCACCACCGCCGCCGCCACTACTGCCACTGCTTCCTCCGCCGCCCCCGCCTCCACCGCCGACCCCACTCCCACCAGCGCTCCCGCCACCGCTCCCTCCAGCACCGCCTCCCCCCCCACCTCCCCCACCTCCTCCCCCCCCAGCGCCACCACCACCACCCTTGCCCCCCTTGCCCTTGCCGGTGCGGCGCCTCCCACCAGGAGCAGAAGCAGCGCCAACAGACTCAGCACCAAGGAAGTCAACAGTAGCAGCAGTAGCGTAGGAGGGAGCGAGGGGAGAGGGAGAACACCCCTCAAAGATGGGGGTGCGAGGAGCGCCACGAGCAGCACCGACAGCTACAATGCTCTTTTCGGCCGCGAGCAGCTGCTCCTCTAGGAGGGGGACTGTGAGCTCAGTGGGACAGCGAGCAAGGAAGTGGTCTCGAACTGAGCTGAGGGTGTCAGGGAGACGGGTGACTATGAAGTGGAGTGTCCAGTACAGTGGAGGGGGGTTCTTAGTGCAGAACTCGGTGGGAAGGGCGGCACGCAGGCGAGCATCACTAGTGCGAAGGTGGGTGATAAGATCGGCGACTGTAGCAAAGGTGGACAGATCGGGGAACAGGTACGGCAGCATGAGGCGGCTAAGCTCGGCTGTGGCAGGCGAGGAGTAGCGAGCAACGACAGCATCGTACAGGGCCTTAGCGGATTTGCAGTCGCCAAAATGCTCGAGCTCAGCTAGCGGCAGGTGACTGCGAATGGCTAGGCGAGCAGCTGCGTCACGAGTCTGCCAGTGGGAACGAACACTAAGCTCAGCTGTGGCAGGGGGGGCAGGTGCAGCACCAGACGCGTAATCATAGAGCGACACATGCTCCTTGCTATCGCTCAGAAGGAACAGCTGCAGGTCATCCAGCCAAGTGGCGAACTTCACAGGGCGGCCCTCAGCATCGAACGACAGCACGCGGATGGAAGCCATAGCGACAGTGCGACTGAGCAAAGGAAGCTGCCACAGCGCTGCAGGTAGGTAGCTCGGCGGGAAGCGCGGCGGGCGGGCGACGCGGCGAGCAGGTAGTGCGGGGGGCGGGCTACGAAGCGGGCAGCGCGGTGGGCAGGCGGCGCTGCAGGCGGGAAGTGCGGCGGGCGGGCTGCGAAGCGGGCAGCGGGGCGAGCGGGCGACGCGGCGAGCGGGCAGCGCGGCGGGCGGGCTGCGAAGCGGGCAGCGGGCGGGCGGGCGACGCTGCAAGCGGGCAGCGGGGCGGGCGGGCGACGCGGCGAGCGGGCAGCGCGGCGGGCGGGCTGCGAAGCGGGCAGCGGGCGGGCGGGCGACGCTGCAAGCGGGCAGCGAGGCGGGCGGGCGACGAAACGGGCAGCGGGCGGGCGGGCGACGCTGCAAGCGGGCAGCGAGGCGGGCGGGCGACGCTGCGAGCGGGCAGCGCGGCGGGCGGGCGACGCTGCGAAGCGGGCAGCGGGCGGGCGGGCGACGCTGCGAGCAGGCAGCGCGGCGGGCGGGCTGCGAAACGGGCAGCGCGGTAGGCGGGCGACGCTGCGAGCGGGCGGCTCGGCGGGCGGGCGACGCTGCGAGGGGCGCGCGAGGGCGCTAGCGAGGGCGCGCGAGGGCGCTAACGAGGGGCGCGCGAGGGCGCTAACGAGGGGCGCGCGAGGGCGCTAACGAGGGGCGCGCGAGGGCGCTAACGAGGGCGCGCGAGGGCGCTAACGAGGACGCACGAGGGCGCTAACGAGGGCGCACGAGGGCGCTACGAGGCTAGGGCACGGGGTAGCGTGGTAACCGCATGCGAGCGGTGGTGGGCCCTTAAAAAAAACGGTCGGTAGGTCCTAGGGACCTCCTGCTCTGAATACCATGTGAGAAGAACTAGGCAAGAATGGTGCATTGAATGAAACAGTTGGGTACAAGTAGCAAACCCTAGTTGGGGTTGTACCCCATATTGGCTACCCCACTACAGCCTACCAACATATAACACATTACAATTTAACAACATCACCCTCCCATTGTCAAGAGGCCCATGTGACTCGTGCAGTTGGCTTGGCTCAGCATGTATGAAGTGACGTGTGAGTCAACCCAAAAGGCACTGGTTTGTGCCCTAAGTTGGATATTACGCGTACGTTTACGCACGTTTTACGTTTACGTTTACGTACGTTTTACGTTACGTTCCACTTCCAGTTTTGAGATTACGTTTCTGGGCAGATTCTTTTGTAGGGGCTGCCCGGATTTTTTTTTGGGGGGGGGATCCAATTGTGGTTGTAAATTATAAATATTATAATTTTGAGTACAACATTAAGCACATCCTTCTAAACATCATCATTCGACTCCTTGTAACAGCAATCCTCGAGTTCCTCGTCATCGAGTGGCTCGTAGGTATCGTCCTTCTCCTCCTCCTCCACCCGTCCAACTATCGTTCATGCAACAATACGATTCTTGGCTTGTTCCGTATGCAACTTGCGCACCGTGTTGTAATTATGGGTGACGTACACAAGATCCGCCAACCGCTTTGGACCAAGACGGTTACGGCGAACTGTGTGAACACATTCCCACACCGACCAGTTGGTCTCGCAGGTTGACGCAGAGACACACTGCTTCAGCATTCTGCAAGCAAGCTTCGAGAGATTGGGACAATCACACCCGTTGAATTTCCACCAATGGACAGGATCTTGCTTACCCTTTTTTATGAGCTCGTGATCCTCACGTGCCTTCTTATCACCAATTTCCCCAACGCCTTGAAGGTAGATCATCAACTCCTCTTCAATCACAGTAGCCATAGGCTTAGAGTCGCCGTCCTCATCGACCACCACCTCTCCATCATAGTATTCTCGAATGAATCGTCGAAATATCCTCGAGCACTCTTTGTCCACGCCAAAGATCTTCTCAAATTGGTTCGGCGGGTACAGTATCCGACCGACAACATGGAGTGCACAGTTGATGTTGTCATTCCACCAGTCGCTCACAGCCTTTGCAATCGCATTCTTCTCAGTGGCAGGTAATCTACGACATGCCTCGTTGACCGCATCCTCCACGCGAAACATCTTGTCGTAGATTTTTCCCATGACCTCCTGGTTGCTGTCAATCCCTCGCAACAGCAGGTAAACCGGCTTGAGAACCTTCAGCACTTGCTCGACCCCTTTCCAGAAGTTGTCGTCTCTAACCAATGTCTTGACACCCCTCATTTTCTCCTTCTTTGCCGCATTTTCCTCCCATCCTTTGGTCGTCACCAACCGATCCAATACCTCCCGCACTTTAAGAAGTCGCTCCAAAGCAATGTAGTTGGTGCCGAAGCGCGTGCCTGCAGGCTTGAGAAGAAGAAGCAAATTCTGCTCCCGTAATTTACCGGTGACCCAATGAGAGTTCTTCAGTGTAGAAATTGTACCCTGCGCGTCCTCGATGGTCTTCGCCGCCCAAGGTCGGGCACCGATGTCCTTTATAAGGTTGTTGAGGGAGTGTGCAGCACATCGGATGTATTGTATCTTTGGAAAATCATCCTTAATGATGTTGGCCGCACTGACGCAACTACTTGCTCCATCCATCAGCACCCCAACAACGTTGTCGCTTCCCACCATGTTGATAGCAGTCTTCAAGTGCTCCGCGATGAACAGGCCCGTTTTCTTATCCGATCCGCAGTCGACGCCGAATAAGAACACGGACGCTTGCGTATTGACCGCCAAGAAGTTCAACTGCGGGCGTTCCTGCCCATCCGTCCAACCGTCGCTCGCAATGCAGACACCAATCTCGCTCCATGCCGAAGTGACCTTCGTTAATGCCGCGTCTGTGTTTTTCTTACAATCCTCGAGGAGGCGACCCATTATCAACTTACGCCCAGGGGGAGTGAATGAAGGCCCAGCCGAAGTAGCCTTCTTGAGCATGTCCTTGAAAGCCTCATGTTCCGCCACGTTCGGCGGAATACGGCACACATGAAAAAAAGTTGCAACTGCGAGCTGTGCGTTGGCCACATCCGCTGGCGTAGGGCGATTGTCGGTGAGCATTCATTGCGTCACCAGCCGCTTGCTAGAAGAATCCACGGCCACGGTTTCCGAATGGCTACTCCCTCCAGAAAATGCATCAACGGTGCGCTTAGTGGCCTCCTTGCGTGCTTCGACGTTACGCGTTTTTGTCGCTGCTGCTGCCAAAAGTTCGCGCTTCGCTTCTGGCGGAATCTTATTGCAAGGAGCAGCACCGCCACCGTCACCAAGAAGGTGGTGCTTCGCACGAGTCGCGTTAATGGGGCCTTCGAAGGTTCTACAAAACTTGCATTTTTTACAATCTTCGAATCTGATTTACCGCCGACAGGAACTTCGAAGTGTTTCCAAATGGGGTGATCATCGTTATTCTCCATGGTTGTTAGAGGGCAAATAGAAGGTAAGCTAGAAGATAGAAGCTTGAGTTACTCCTCGTAAGTTGTGATTGAAGTTTGCTTGTGAATGTGAATCTGAACGCTCTTTCGTTATATGATTGTGTGGTTAGAATTTTACGAATCGCGTTTATGTTTCTCGGTTGGAGTGGAGTGCACGCCACCCAACTTGGAGTGCACGCTGAAATGTTAGTGGTGCTTCTCGGCACCTACAAATCAACAAGCGGTGATTGATTCCACCGATTTCGGTGGAATCAGTCACCACGAAACTCCAACCGTCGGCCACAATCTTATTGGCTGACGATTGGGTGGAAAATCAGTCCCGCCAAATTTTCACGCGAGGTGTACAGTCCTACGGGAAAGTATGTTGACTCACAGTTGTTTCTCGCCTTCTTCGAAATAACGCAAGTGAGTCGCGCGAGCAGGCCCTCAGATTCGTTTGGGGGTACACTGAGGCCTCAGGGCAGTTTTTAGGAAATCAGAATTTGCCCTGAATTGTCAGGGCTGCACAGGGTGAGGTATCATAAAATATCAGTGCTACATTTGACAGTATCCTGGCAGCTCAGTGCTACATTTCGTACAATCCTGTGTATTTCGTGCGTATTATGTTAGCGGGGATCGAAATGCTGAAAGTGTGTAATGCTGGGGTGCAGTTGCAAGTGGCTGGCAGTGGAAGTCGCTGGCAGCTGCATGGTGCGAAACTGTTACAACACAGTAAAGCAGATGGCGAAGGTGGCGGTGGACATCGTGGGTTCAAATTGGCTGGCAAAAGCGAAGTGGCCGAATTGTCTTTCCTCGTGACTATCAAGCCGTGGAGTGTTGTAGGGGGTAAAGCGACAGTCTGCTATGCAGAAGGTCGCCTGGTTGATTCCTGCTAGCTACCGTGTTTTGTATGATAGCACGCTAAGGACGCGGTAAAAGTGGAGAATCGATCACCTCAGGATCGTTTTTAAGCGCGGTTGTAAATGGATTTGTACTTTTCGTACAACAAATGCAAGGTTTCAGTGCGGTGACTGGATCGATCTCCCCCCGATCGAGCACTTTTACCGCGTCCTAAGTATATTCGAGATCCCACAACCCAGTAGATTTTTTGCGCAGTACATCTCGCTTCAGGGCGAAATTCGAGACTATCCTGAGTCGTCAAGGCTGAACTTACACCATTATACTGAAACGACAGTACGCCAAATAACCATTATACTGAATTTCCAGGACAAGTAATTCCCTTATGCTGTTTTTCCAGGACACACACACTAGACCTATACTGAATTCAGGAAATTCATGATAATTTATCCTGATAACATAGGGTCTGCGCGCGAGTCAACCAAATCGAAAGAAACCCTCACATCGACCTTCCCCCCCACCTTCGTATTGAGTCCCGTCACTTACGCGGGACTCAATGTTAGTAGTAGTACATCCTACCTTAGCCGACTTCATTCTTTCCGGCACTTCGCGATCTTCACAGGGTTAGGATCGATTCATCCCTCATACGTTTAACATGTACTGCTAGGTTGAAGAGGCTGTCAAGATTGATAGTGCAGTGCTTTTAAGATCGCCTAGTAGTTTAAGATCAAGATTAAGATTAAGATCACCTAGTACAAGCTGTCTCATTACAGCAATTCGCCAGTGATAGTCGACATGGACGTACGTGCCACAACAAATGTCGAAATGCTTGTGCTTCACATAACATTGGCCAAAATCGAAGCCTGCGCTTTTATTTATTTATTTATAATTTTTGTTTTCGATGCGATTTTTTCCCCGTCCCGGACCAATGTTACGCGTACTTACGCGTACATAAACGTAAACGTAACATTACGCGTAATGTTACGTTTACGTAGGGTCCGGGACGTACGGATCCATCTTAGTTTGTGCCATATGGTACTGGATGCTAGGAGGAAACCAAGGCCCACTTGGTAGTCGCTGATAACACATGCTGCTGCCGTGTCGAGACTCAACATCATATAGACCAAGATAGGGCACATGGATCATGCTTCACCTACTTCTTCTCGTCCCCACCCAGTCTCCTCTGAATCTCCTCTTCTTCCTCTTGGTTGGGTCTCAGAAATCACCGCTTCTCTTGTGCTGACGCTCCCTTCACCTGCCACGGCGGATGGGAGGCCAAAGGGCAGGGAGGGTGGGGGATGGGGGGAGAGGGGAGAATTGGGAGGGGGGAGAAGTGGAGGGGGGGGGGGGGAGAGGGGGCAACAGCTGACGAGGGAGGCGCTGGGAAGGTACTATCGTTTTCTCCTCCTTGCATGGTCTAGAGAACCACGATAGAGCCAAGCAAGGCGGAGAAAACGATAGAGCCTTTAATAAGGACTCTCCTCCTCCTCGACCTCTCTCAGCTGCCTCGCTGCTTCCTTGGTGCGATGCCCCATGCAGCTGGCAGGGCGGAAGGAAGGAAAGATGGAGGGAGGATTGGGAGGAGGGGACAATAAAGAGGCTTGGGGAGAAGAGGGCAACGAGAGTATGCCGTGGCAAGAATGCTCCGATGGTCGAACAGCTGAACGTCGGTGGGAAAGAGGGGGGGGTGGGGGAGGGAGGGAATATGACGTGGGATATGACGTGGCTGGTGCTGGATGATGCAAGGCGGGAGGGCGCAGCGGCCTTGCCTGTGTGTGCGTCGGCGACAGACCGTCTCGCCTCCCACAAATCCCCACCCACCGTAATGCCTGCACGCTTGCAGGCACGGGCTAACTTGATTTGCCCCCGTGTTGCCAGCGGCAGGCGCTACAGCCATCGGCGGCTGTAGCTGCAGCGACGCGGGAGGCACAGAGCCGTGGCGCTCACAGGGAATCACGAAATCCCCATGCCAGACGATGCACCGAGTTCGGCACAACCACTCACTGTTCGTGCCGTGCGGCTCAAACAGTCGCTGTGACGCGACGTTTCTGGAGCTCATCTCGCATCGCCAACGACGGCCGCCGCCACACATCACAGCGATCCCCGCCGTTACTAGGGGTAATTTGGATTGAAGACTTTGAAGCAAGGGCGACTGGATGGCGACCAAAGCGCGTCGTGACTCACATCATCTAGGACGGTCTTCTTGCCGCCATAGTCGCCGTAATCGGCGTACAAGGTAAGGACTCCCGCCGCTGCCGTCGCCACAACCGCGAGCGCCTTTATGCGGAACTCGAACTTCCTGTCAATGGCGTACAAAGGTAGATGCGATGCGCTACGCGCCTGTAACAGTATATATGAACTTCATCTGTTGACACGAATCGGTTTGCAAAAACTAATCGCACAGGGAGTTTCTGCCCGAACTAACCTGTGTTTCTCCGATTTCTGAAGGACATGTTTCAATATGGAGTGAAAACAAAAGATGGAGCACACATGGGGAGTTTTTGTTTTTCCCTAAAACTTGATTAGTACAACAAATGGAAGTCCAAATGTGGCCTAGCATTGTGGCTTTGAAGAGCTACGCACATCCTCTATTTACAAGCCCCGCTTAGTGTGGCACAAGTGCAATATGTACAAGCAGCATGTGCAGCACCAGCAGCTAAGAGTGCACACATGGTTTCCTACTGCTTCCCTGTGTGCACCTTGTACAGTACATCCCACACATCCTATATGTACAGGCCCCACTACTGCCACATAAGTGTAATATGTACGAGCAGCATGTGCGGCTCCAGCAGTCAGAGTGAACACGTAGTTTCTCGTCACTTCCCTCTGTCCACCTTGCACAACACAGCACGGCCCAGCCCGCTTGTGGAACAAGGAGGCAAGGGTGGGTGAGGGAGTGAGCAGCAGATGGCACAAGAGCGAGAGATGGGCGCAAGAGGGTAGTGGAAAGGACAGCAGAAGTACTCAGTACTCCTCGGCAGCGCACTCACGGCAATGGCTTGCCTGGCAGGCGACAAGGTACAGGTTTCAGTGCAACCATGCCCTCTTGAGAGTTCCCTAAAGTGCAATTGTGTCCCACAAGCAGCCTCAGCGCATGTCAACCCCAGCTGTCTCATCGTTTCTTCTTGCCAGTCACATGCTTGTAATGGAAGAGCGACGCTGGCAGGGAGACTCTGACGAGCAGCATGCAAGGCAGTGCGAGGACAGGCAGGTAGATGGCCAGCAGCATCAGGCCGGCAATCCGGTGCATGAGACCCAGTGGTTGGGGGTACTTGGAGGATATCTCCTCCACAAACTCGAATGCACTGGAGGTCTGCACGGGTGGGTGGGAGACAGGGAGAGCATGAGGGTTAAGTCTGGGAGAGAGGCCAGAAGAGCCCCTTTGACAAGGTGGTAACAGGGTTAGGGGATGGGGTCACTGAAATGGGGGGTGGGAAAATAGTCATGAGGGTGCATTGATGGAGAGAAAGGCAACTGGGCACAAAAAAAAGAACATTATGTATGGACAGGAGAATTATATGGAAAAAAAACGCAGCTGATTGTGAATTACCATGGTGGTGATGGCATGGACGGAGTAGGCGCCAGCAGGCAGGCGGATCCACTCTCCACCTGAAGGAGGTGCGATGGAAAGCAGGGGGGATGAGAGGGAGGCGGAGGCGGAGAGATGGGGAGAGCACACAGCATGGACATGAGAAATATGTTGTCTCATGAGAAATGGGGAGAACAGAATGTAGCAGACATAAAGTAGCATATGACATACTATCAAATTATATATGTAACATATATGTGTAGGCTGTAGTGGGGTAGCCAATATGGGGTATAGCCCCCTTTAGGGTTTCATATTTATACCCAACTTCATTCTAGTTCACTCATTCCTGCTAGCTATTCTGACATGGTATTCAGAGCAGGAGGTCCCTAGGACCTCAGGATCGATTTTTTTTAGGGCCCACCACCAACCGCTCGCGGTTACCGTGCTACCCCACGCCCTGCCCTAGCCTGCCTGCCTTGCCTGCCCGTCGCGCTGCCCCGCAGCCCCGCGCGCCGCCCGTCGCGCTGCCCTGCAGCCCCGCGCGCGCCCTGCCTTTGCCCGTCGCGCTGCCCCGCAGCCCCGCGCGCAGCCCGTTGCGCTGCCCCGCAGCCCCGCGCATGCCTTGCCAGCCAGTCGCGCTGTCTCGCAGCCCCGCGCGCCGCCCGTCGCGCTGCCCTGCAGCCCCGCGCGCGCCCTGCCGCTGCCCGTCGCGCTGCCCCGCGGGCCCCACGCGCCGCCTCCCGCGCTGCCCTGCAACCCCGCGCGCTGCCCGTCGTGCCGCCCAGCGCCCCTGTGAGGATCTAGGATCGAGCTCAGAAAAGAGAGTTTGAATTGAATGATCACCTGGGTACAACACGAGGCTATATATAGGCTCGACACAAGGGGCAGTAACCAGGTGTTACGCGAAGGTTCTGGGGGTCGCGAAGCGTCCCGAACAGACCCTTCCCGAATTCGGTAGAAGGCAATTCGGTGGCAACCGAATAGCCCAGAATTCGGTGTACGCAACCTAGCTCGGTGCTATAACTATAATAAAATATAGGAAAGCACCTAGCCTAGGAAATCAAGCGGTTCATGCATGCATAAAATTTACCTAAGCTAGCAATAGCGTAATAAGATAAAAGAAAGCATGCATAGCTGGCATAAGCCGTCGTACTCTCACACGTCCCCCCCTCAAAGCTGGGTGGCGTGAGATACACCCTGCTTGACAAGATAGTCTTTGAGAGCACGGCGTGCATTGCCCATATCAGCTTCTGCAACCCAACTGTCCTCAGTGGGGTCGTATCCCTTCCAGCGTATCAGGAACTCGAGGGTCTTGCCGCCGCGGCGCCGATGAGTGAGAACGCGCTCGATCTCGTACTCTGGTTCATCCTGCACAAGAACAGGTGGAGGTGGCGGTAGCTGCCGTCCCTGGAACTGTTGGTTGGGGTCCTTGTAGGGTTTCAGTAGCTGAACATGGAAAGCATTGTGAAGCTTCCACGTATCTGGTAAGCGCAAGCGGAATGTAACTGGTGTCACCTGTGCCTCCACGAGAAAAGGACCACAGAAGCGAGGCCGGAGTTTGGATGGTAGGTGAGACAGGTTCAAGTTGCGCGTGTCAAGAAGCACCTGATCTCCAACTGCTACTGAGTGATCTCGTCGCTGACGATCGGCATACTGCTTCTGGGAGTTCTGCATCGTGGTGAGACGCCGCTGAGTCTTCTCCCATAGCTGCTGCATGGTGGTGACGAAGTCGTGTGCGGCTTGGACGTGTGCCGGTGTGGTTGGCTGCTGTGGTGTGAGTGGTTCCCATCCGTAACACAGGAAGAAAGGGGTTTTCCCTGTGGCCGCATGTGAGGCGTTGTTGTAAGCGAACTCTAAGGTCGGTAACTGTGTGTCCCAGTGGCTGATGTCGTCCTTGCAAGCTGTACGCAGTAACTGTTCAACCACCTGATTGAGTCGCTCCGTCTGTCCGTCAGTCTGGGGATGGTATGCTGAAGACATGGCAAGCTTGGTCCCCAGCAGTCCCATAAGCTCCTTCCAGAACTTACTTGTGAATTTTGGGTCTCTGTCTGAGATAAGTGTAGCGGGGATACCGTGGATGGTGATGATGCGGTCGAAGAAGAGGCGAGCAGTTGCTTCAGCTGTAGCTGTGGCGTTGGTCGGTATGAAATGACCCATTTTGGAGAACTTATCGATTACTACGAGGATGGAATCGTGTCCCCGTGAGGTCGAGGGAAGTCCTGTGATGAAGTCGAGGCTAACGACCTGCCATGGCTGCTCCGGTACGGGTAGAGGTTCAAGTATCCCCGCTTTTTTCTGCTTGCTACTCTTCATCCGCTGGCACGTGTCGCATGAGGTGACGAACTGCTGCACGTCTGCTGCCATCCGGGGCCAGTAGTAATACTTCGCTATTCCCGCTAACGTCTTGTTGCTCCCGAAATGTCCCGCGTATGGTACGTCATGAAATTCCTCTAATAGGATCTGCCGTAGCGGGGCGTAATTCGGTACCCAAATCTTTCCTGAACCCTTCCTTACTGCTAAGTCTTTCTCCCACTGTAACAGCTTCTGTTTCTCTGCCGTTGCGATCTCGCCGTCCACGGAGTACCCATGTTGGAATAGACCCTTGAGCAGAGGGTTCATCCTGTCGAGCTGGATGCCTGCTACATGACCGGGGCGGCTCAACGCGTCAGCTTTGTTGTGGAGCCCGGGTTTGTAGACGATGTCGTAGTGGAAGTGAGTTTCCAAGAAATCCACCCACCGCACCTGTCGTCGTGAGAGCGTCGGCTGCGACTTCAGGTACTTAAGACTGCAGTGGTCAGTGTATACTGTGGTCTTGGCTCCCTCCAGTTAACACCTCCACGCCTTGAAGGCTACGACTATGGCTAAGGCTTCCTTGTCGTGAATGGGGTAGTTCAGTTCTGCTCCGTGTAACTTCTTACTGAGGTAGGCGATAGGCTGTAAACCGTTCCCGTGATCCTGCATCAGTACTGCTCCGACTGCTTGGTCACTAGCGTCTGCTTCAACTACGTAGTCCTTCTCGGGATCCGGTAGGATGAGTACTGGCGCTGTGGTCAGTGCTGTCTGTAGCTGCTCCATGGCTTGCTGATGAGGAGTATCCCATTTGAAGGGCGTATCCTTTTTCAGTAGGTCGGTCAGTGGCGCTGCTATCTTAGCATACTGCGGCACGAACCTGTTGTAGTAGTTGGCGAAGCCGAGGAACTGCTGCAACTCTTTCACGTTCTCCGGAACTTTCCACTTTTTAACGGCTTCGATCTTCCGCGGGTCCACGTGTACGCCCTCGGCACTCACCATGTGCCCGAGAAACTGCACCTTCTTCAGGGCGAAGTCGCTCTTCGACAGCTTCACGTAGAACTTATTTTTCCGCAGGATCTTGAACACCTTCCGCAGATGCTCCACGTGCTCCTTCATGTTTTTGGAGTAGATGAGGATATCGTCCAGGTACACTACTACGCATTCGTCCAGCAGGGGCCGGAGGATGTGGTTCATCTCGGCCAGGAACGTCGCTGGTGCGTTGCAGAGTCCGAACGGCATCACTAAGTACTCGTAGGAGCCGTATCTCGTACGGAATGCCGTTTTGTGGATCGAGTTGTCCGCCATCTTGATCTGCCAGTAACCCGACCGTAGGTCCAGCTTCGAGAATACTCTTGCACCACGCAGTTGATCCAGTAGGTCATCTATTCGCGGTATGGGATATTTGTTCTTGACTGTCTGTTTGTTCAGTGCGCGGTAGTCGATGCACATCCGTAAACTGCCGTCTGGTTTAGGAGTGAAGAGAACTGGTGCTCCGTAGGGAGATGTGGATGGGCGGATCAGTTGTCTGTCCAGTAAATATTCGATCTGTTTTTTCATGTCTGTCAGCTCGGTCGGACTCAGTCGGTATGGTGCACGTGAGACGGGTTTCGCACCTGGTTCCTCCACGATCTCGTGTTCGTGGGTGCGTGCTGGAGGTACGCCTGCGGGTAGGTCGTCGGGCATTATATCCTTGTACTGCTCCAAGACCTCCTTTACTGCTGCAGGTAGCTCCGAACTCGGCTTCTCCTCCTCTGCTGCTGCCATGACCAGTGCTAGGTAACCCGTGTTACTCTCGTTCACCGTCTGTTCGAGCCGTGCTAGTGTCGTTTCAGGAATATCCCCTGTATCCGTCCAGCTTCGCAGTGCTATCCGCTTCCCGTTGTTGTAGATGCACACTTTACTGTTGACCCAATCAATCTCGGGGTTGAACTGCTTCAGGAAATCTCGCCCCAAGATGAAATCTAGTCCCTTGATATTGGTGATCGGCAACGTCGGCTTCCACTTTAGCGCCCCTATCTGCAGCTGCAGTGTTGACTCGCCGTGGATAGGAAGCTTCGTACCGTCCACCATTGTTGCAGAGAATTGTGTCTCCTCCGCCTTCTCTCCGATTTTCTCCAATGTCTCGCGGTCGCACACCGAGTGAGATGCACCGCTGTCCACCAGTGCCTGGAGGCGTCGCCCATTGCAGATCACCTCGAGGAGTAGTGGTTGTTGCCGCTCCGAGTAGCCGTAGATGGTCTCGCTTATAGGATCATAGGGTAAGTCGAATATCTCATCCCTAGGTCCTGCGCTCGAAGCTGCTGTCTCAATATCAGTTATCAACTGAGCAGGTTTAGAAGGTTTTACTCGAGGCTGATTCAGCTTCGTCTTGGCCTGGAACCTTCCCCTAAGCCGTTGCAGCTGTGTAGGCTTCTCCTGTGGGCAATGGGGAGCCTTAACACTGTGCTGCGGGGAGAGAGTATTAACTCCTTGGAACGCACGACCCTTTTCAACGCTCCGGAGTGGTTTGCCCAACTTCTCAGGTACCTGAATAATCTTTAAGGGCTTTTTCTTAGCCGCTAAATCTCCCCTGAAGGCTTGAAAATCACGAGAAGTAATATTCTTAGTTAAAGTATCTTTGTAGGATAACTTTAACGAATTCTTACTTTCGTGGGTGTTCGGCTGGAGTTTCCCGGTCGGTGCAGAGTCTTGTTTCGCGGAGCCTCCATTTGTCTCGGCGATTTCCCCTGGTGCCGGCCGGTCGTGGCGTTTTAAATTCGCGCCATCATGTCCTCCTTTTTTCGCCCGC